TTAAGGGGGTATACACTTAATATATTTTTTAACCTGCAAAAAAATGCAATAACCGCAACTTAAATGTATCTTTTACTAAGATTTTATACTGAGGTTTCCTCACGAATTATTATTCATTATTATATAAAGGCTGTATGATCTACCAAAAGTTTTTCTACGAAAGATTAGTTTACATAAAAACCAATAATGAATACATTTTAATTTGCCAAACGAGTTAATCATTAGTTTATTTAAAATGATTGTTATTATTATTTACTTCTTATATTTTCTACAGATTTATATTAGTTTTGCACGTGAATTAAATGTATTTAAGTAATTGATTAAATACGAAATTGACAAGTAAAAAGGTAAGAAAAGGCGATCCTTCAGTTTGAATATAAAAAATTTTAATAACTCTTTAGAGTCCTCTACTGAGTACTGGGTACTTGCTAGTCCAAGACAAGGCACAACGGATATTCTTCTCGCTTCTTCCGAATTTTTATGTGCTGCCTGCAAGTTGCATTGGCGACGCAGCCGAAAATTATAAATCTACGATTTGACATGAAGACGCGCATGTGTGTGTTTGGGGCGATTGTGTGGGTGTTTGAGTGCTTCGAAGACATGGATTTATAGACGAAGACATAAATACAAGTGGCACTGTGGGCTGGAAGTTGGGGGAATGGGGAAGGGAAGTGGAGGGACAGCGAATCGACTGGCCAAAGACACTGGCAAAAACATTGAAAGTGCACCACCGCCCACGGCAAAGGCGGAACACGCTCAAAGCCCATAAATATCCTGCCAGTTAGCTGAGTGTGTGTGTGTGTTTTGGCGAGGGAGGGATCCTTCGTGGGAAAGGGGGTAGGGCAACGCATTTTAGGTGAAAATAATCACCGCTTCACATGAAATCATTCTGGCCAAAACCGAATGCCAAAGGAAATGCAAGCGGCGCCAAATGGGATACTTGCAAGGACCCTGCGAATCATCCGAAGAAAAAAGAGGAAGCGCCAGGGGAAATAAATTCAAAGTTCGCCCCCATATCAAGGGCAAACAAATCAAAAGTGACAATTTTCCTGGGGTGCGGGAAAATCGTTTAAATGATTTTTAGCCTTGATTTGTGGCAAAGTGGAGAACACAAGAGGAACGACATTTTAATGGTAGCTATCCGAGCAGTTTAATGTGTCCAAAGATTGTCCGACCAGAATTTATTAGATTGAAGTAGAGCTATAAAGAAATGCGAATTTTGATTTCCATTTTTACGGATAGCTATTCATAAGATTTGTATAAACAAACTAAAATGCAGGCTCTCACAAAAGCTTACTCAGCTATAAAGAATATTTTCAAGAATAATAGAAAAGGAAAGGAAGAACAAATTTTTTTGTCAAGCTTCCGTTTCTTTATGAAAGATGAAAAGTTTTATTCAGCGAATATTAGATACTTTACTTATAATATAAACTATATATTATATAAATTAAATTAAACTATAGAAAAAAAAACATTTTACTTACAAAAGTATTTACAACTTGCCTTAAATTTGCCTTTACCTTTAATATTGGAAAACAGTTGAAGTAAAAAAAAAATTGTTCGGTCCCTTTTACTTTGAACCCTAATAATTAAATCCACATCCATATGGTAGGGTGAACAAAGATTATGAAAAACAAACAATTTTTCAATTTTACCCATCTTAACCTTTTCATTATTTCTCTAAGATACCCTTTATTAGGATTATGATTAATTAAATATTTTGAACACATATACGTTTTGTGATATATGCTATCACATTTAGCATATAAACTTCGAAAGATTAACGATTTTTTATTTTATTTTTAAGAATAAATAGAAATTTGTTTCATCAGGTATCAAATCTTCGATGAACTTAACCAAGTTTCGCAGACTTCCGACTTTTTATTCAGCCGCCAAAGTATTTTAATGTTTATTTATATGTAGATTTTTTCTATTATTGCAAAAAGGACAAGACCCCGAAGGACCTCGCCAAAAAGGTTGCGGATGCTCGTCGCCGGATTTCGGAATATTTTTTCTGGTGTCATAAAAAAAAGAACAGGCAATGTAGCAAGTACGCAACACCTTTGGCCCTGGACAAACACTCAGTAATACACCCAGACCCAGCAAAAAGGACATTCAACAAAAGGGGATGCGGAAGTAATTTACAATTTGGTAGAAGGAATGAAAATCAGACATAAAAGCAAACAGAAATTGCAGGATCAGGATGTGTCTGGCCGCGACGTAAATTGACAAGATTTATTTTCAATTAAAACAGGCGCTGCGCATTATCCTTTTTGCAGGATACACGACGACGCCGTTGCTTCCAACACTTTTATTGGCAGCAGCGTTTTATGTTTCATCTCAATTGACGATAAATCAAAAGCGGTCGACGCATTTCAACATTTTGCCCATTTCCCTCCCCGATTCAGGATGTTTTTTTTTGGGAAGACATCGGCTAGTGCAAGCAGGCGGGCGGCAAGGACGAGGCTGCATGGCCACCCCTAAGCCGCAACCGCATACAGCGTTGATGAATGACGAAGGACATGCACATGCAGTGTGTGTATATGTGTGTGTACTCGATCGGGTGTCCGTGTATATGGCAGCAAGGACACGCACACCGATTGGCTGCACGACGACGTGCAATAATTCCATGTGTCCTGGCGAGCAACAATAAGAGAAGAAGGACTGCCTGATGTAGTCGACTTGAAGATACGGTAATTTAGCCCTTAAAAAAAGTTATTTAATACAAAATAAATGTATTTTTTAAATTCTGTAGAGTCCGCAACGTTTATACCTATTAAGTAAGTTTTATAAAATATTTTCATTGCTTGACAAATATTTAAAAAAAAAATATTTTTTATCAAAACAGAAGTGGCTAACATTGTTAGTATAGCTGAAGAGAAAAACATATTTTTTACTTACTTATTGTTAATTAAATATGTTAACCTATTAATACATGCTCCTCAGTATAATATACCCCTGCACTTTCTGGATATCAGGCGTAAAAAGAGTGAAAATAAAAGAGAAAAGAATTGGAAGGGGAAGTTCGCCAAGGTGGATGCAGTGCAGCCGCCTCATTGTTGTCCTGGTTATTTATGGCCCATTAAGGCAAGCGGCAATTGCACATGTGTTCTTCACACTGACAATTTTCCAGATCTCTCACACCTTCCACACCCCACCCCACAACCTCCCACCCCCACCAACAAGCTCTTTTATGTGTGTCAGAGTCCTTCTTGTTCTTTGATTCGAGCTGCTTTCGCTTTTAATTGTTTCGCCCAGCACAAATGTTAATAATTACACCTCCAACGCCCGACTGCAGCGAATGATTCGCCACGTTTGAATGTGTTTGTGTAAGGGATCAGGGATGTCCTTTTGTCTAATAACCATAAGACATAATTCATACGGAATCGTGTTTCTCCGATGGAATTTATGACACTTCACCCGCATCCAGTACTCGCTTCATTGCCATTCACGCACGCAAAAAACAATTATGTGTCCTCCAAATCCTCCGCCCACTCCCATTCCGTGGCACATTTAATTGCCTTTGGCCAAAGGATTCGAATGGAGACATTAGAAAAATCTGTCGCCGTCGACAGGACACACGTCGTTCTGCTCAGCTGAAGGCCGTTAAAATGCGAGAAAATTACATGTTGGCTCTGCAGTTAAAATGGGAAAATGCGAAGCTCCATTTCCCTGGGACGCGGGATGTGTCGAAGGATCGTGATCAAACAAATCTTTCAGCCCACATATGCCGTACAAGTTTATTGGCTGTAAGCGAAGGAACAGTTGGGAGTTCCATTAGTTTGGGGACAACGGAAAGTGATTAGAGCTTAAAGTGACTTTGCAACAAGAAATACACAAAATTATATACTTAATAAAAACTTAACAACGTTAAAGATATTTAGGTATACGAATTGAAAAAGAAGCAATTAGAACGATATAGAGGTTTCCGTGCTTTTCTCCAAAAAGAACAGCTTTAATTAAGCACATTTTTTGTAATATTTGTAGGTCTCTTTATATTTTTATGCTATTACCAGAATAATTAAAAGCTAACTCTCAAAGTGTCAAGCTAAAAGAGTAAATATAATGCTAAATAAGCCGAGATTTAAAAAAATAGTAAAAACGACATCCTCGTTTACATTTATATGAAGAGCTTGTACTTGCATAGTTTGTGAGGTCTTGAATTTTTCAATATCATTAGTGGTGCACCAACGAGGATTCCGATGGATTAGCTGAGTTTTTTTTTATAAGAACAACTTAAGGAGCTACAACCGTACTCAAAATTCAGAGATTACTAGAATAAAAAATCTGGTTTTTGTATTTATTTATATTAGAAAACAAGACTCTATTATTGAAGCTTTAATTCTTCACATTTTACCACTAAAAACTTCCGAGTTTCCTGGCCAATCAGAGTCCAGAGTCCCCAACCCAATGCTCCCTATCCTGTGAGGCACAACAACAAAAATGGTAAAATCATTGCAAAGTGACAGAATAAATAACACAGTAAATAAATTTGACCGAGCGCAGTCGAGGGAGAAGAGGGGGCCAGAGGCACAGACAGGACTCGCTGGATGCCAGGACATAAGCCACAGTAGCTTCTGACTGGTCTTCTTTGCTCCAGTACAATATGTCCTGGTCTGGTCACAAATTTATGCGACTTCCAAGTGCGGTGCAAGCTGCGTTTGACTGCTCTTCTAGCAGCCAGGACAGCCAGCTGTCCAATGCATTATCCTTGTCAAGTGTGCGGGTAACAAGCTCGCCTCTTCAAGGAGCGTATCAAAGTCTCACCGAACAGGGCGCAGCTTCACAAAATATGGGAGTAAATAGAGGTGAATAGCTAATACTGACTATAAATAATACAGGTAGGAAAGAAAAAGAGATAGATCTAATGTCGCCTTGGACTCGTTTTAAAATGGTTGTCAATCTGAACATTAAGCATCTGTTAAACGGAGGAAACCCATTTTTTTAAAAATAAAAAACCGGTAAAAGGATTGACTTGAATGGATTTTAAGATACGTAGAATGATTTGGGAACCTAAAGCGTTTCAGATAGTCTCATTAATCCTTTGCGGTGTGTTGGAAGTGCTTGTGAAAAAAATCGGAAATGGATCGCCATATGACGGAATCACAATGGGCGGGTTACTTCTTATCGGCGAATATAGCCTGCCAATTATACTTGGCAGTGCTCCAGATTTTGCGACCTGTTTTCTGGATTTTTGCCGGACGATTTGTCACCGCAGCCACTGTCACCGCGGAAATAATGCCGATGCCCACTGTACTGATGTGCAAAACTAACAATTTGGAAGGGTAATCAAGTCCCGTCCACTTGATTAGATCGAGAAGAAGCCTCTCCATGGAGAGCCACACCAACACCATGGAAAATTCGCCAATCAGAAAGGCGAGGATGGTCTCCAGGACAAACTTGCCCCATGGAGGAACGCGTCTCCAGTGCTTGGGTATCACCTCGGAGTCGCACAGCAGATCCATTACCGACAGATAGAATATCTGGCTGCCCAGGATGGGGGTGCCCTTGAATACATCGGGATCCAGCTGGATGAAGAGCGTTGTATGCAGCACCAGGTGCACAAAGCAGGCCAATAAAATAGGTGGCGGACTGGTCATTACTGTTTCGGGGATACCATTAAAATATCCTCAATTTCATTTATATATTTAACTTACTTTGATATGAAGATTGGTATAAAAGTAAAGAAAACTGATAATTTTACAAAAATTTAAATATATATCGAAATTGGTAAATGATTACAACACAAAGTATACAAAGAATTTGTCACACTTTCGAAAGCTTACTGGGTCAAGTCTTGAAATTGTACACTCAGAAAATGAATCGCCCTGAATTTTAGAAAATCGCCTATGGATTTGCTTCACTGGCGATTTTTTTCTTTAAAATAAAAAAATTTTCTACTGGTAAAGAAAATTTTCTTCCAATTAATCAAAATTCATTAAATTCAAGAAATATTCCAGAAATATAGAAAAAAATCGCCAGTAAAGCAAATCCATAGGCGATTTTCTAAAATTTTTTTTTGAGTGTACCTAATATTTTATCAATATTACCAATAGTAGGTACTTAGGGGAACGATTGGATTTTTGAATGTAACTTTTCCAAAAATCAATATTTTTCAAAAGTGTAAAAACAAAAAGTTGCTTACATCCACTGAGTATATTTCTGTAAAAGTACGATTCGAAATTTCAACAACTTCCAGCTTCTCTTTAACAAGGACTATCTCATTCCTTTGCAAATCGGTTTCACTGTGTTCACAATAGGTATCGTGGAATTTTACTTTTAGGGGACTCACATTTCTGTGTTTGCAGTGGCACCTTGTGCGATCCATTACCGTTACCAAGCAGTTTAGAAGTGAAAGTGAGCTTTCCGTTTCGATTTTGGAGATATATATAGGTTGGGGCAATCACTCCCAATACCGATGGAAACGAATGAAAAGTGATAAGGTATTTGTTAATGTTTTTCTGTGGAACTGATTAAACTTCTTTTGTGTGAAATGCGATTACCTGGGGATTTATTGCAATCTGCGATGGTTCTTACTATTAGTATTAGTAAACTGCTTAATCTGATGTTAGTTTATTCAGGGTGGAAATCGATTTCCACATTTTGTGAGCTCCAAATTTCGAAGTGTATAGGTTCGAATGTGATTTTTAAATTAGGATAATCCATAGTCGGTTGAATCTAGGATGGTAAATAGTGTTAGGTAGTACTAGTAGTACAGTACTACTAATCAAGTAAACGTACCTTTTCGGGATCCAATCCTGTGTTGTGGAGATTCAGCGTCAGCGGAGAACTGAGTTTGACCAGAATATTTGAGAGGTGCGGGTTGCTAAAATCCACCGACTGATAACTCAACTTGGTAGACGACAGGTTGAGGACTCTTAGCATGGGGCAGAGACCTATGCAATTCCACAAATGGGTGGGCGAGAATTCTTCGCGCATCTCTACCAGATGCAGCTCCTCCAGTTTCGGCAGCTTGCGGGAAATGACGTGTAGCTGGTCCGACTCGATGTCATCTTCTTGCAGGACCAGCCGACGAAGATTGGTCATGTGCAGGATACTTTCCGTCACCCGTGCACTGCTCCAGAAGGAGTTGTTGAAGACCAGCGATTGCACCTTTAGCGGCTTGAGCCGGGCCACAGATTGCAGCAAGAACTTAGTGTAGTCCCGCGTGTTGAAAGCCAGGCGGCGGAAGTGCGGCAGATTCAACAGCCGCGGCAGGAAGTCGCCCAGCAAGTGGAGGTCGTCGATGATCAGCTCTTCCAGCGTGGAACACCGGGTGACGTCCAGCACCACCTCGCCCAGATTCACAGCGTATCCGTAGTAAAGAAGTGTGAGCTTGGTCAGCTTTAGGCTGTCGAAGACCTCCTTAAAGTGCTCCGTTTCCAGGTACTCGCACCCGACGAGATTCAGCTCCTTCAGCTGTGTCCAGCACCACAAGTAACGCCCTGTGGTGCCGCTATTGAGGGTGAGATTGGTCAGGTGGGGAAACAGCTCGGTCAGCAGCAGGGTCTCCTCGTCGGCCTCCTCGAGGCTGTAGTCCATGTAGCAGTCGAGCCATCGGAGGTTAGGAAATCTATAATCCTTCCACTGTGTCAGCAGTTCCCATTGGGCACGGGGTAGATTTAAGCGCTCCACCGATCCCGACCAACTATTTAGGCATTCCTGCATCAGTTCTAGGTAAAAATTAACATTATTAAGGAATCAAAAGACCGATGGTATGCTAACTCTCATTCCCGTCCAGAAATTCCAGGTCGTCTAGGGTAAGGGTCGCTGATTTTAGAAGGGTCCATTGGTACTTCACGTAGAACGAGATTCGTACGTTGACTTGGGCCAGAGACAACTGATCACTCATGGGCAGGAACTTTAGGATATTTATCCATATATCTTCATTAATATTTTCCATTCTTAATAGTTTAATTTTGAATACTAAATTACTAAACAAAACAAAACAAATCGGAACTGTGAGTCCCCTGATAACTTGCGGATCGAATGTTAAGTAAACTTCTGTGTGAATGGCAAAATAAAAACAGTTATGCGTTAGAGCATCATTAGAGGCTTGGAAAGGGACAAATATATATGCTTTTTGTGTGATTTGTTTGGATAAGATGGCATGGTCTCTTAGAATTTAAACGTTAAATTTAAAATTTTTAATTCAAATAACTTTAACTGGTCAAATCATTAAGGTTAAAAACTGTAAAATTAATAGTGTGTATTGCCATGCAATCAGACATTTTTAAAACGTTTTTAAAATGTTTTGGGCTGCACAAAGTACAAGAAGAAATATAAGAAATAAATTACCATACTCGTCACATTACCCTACACTCCCCTACAATTAATATTTAAATCGAATTTGTAATGTCAATATCGTTTTTGGGGACCTTAATCCTCGCTTCATTGTTCAGATCTCCTCTAAAAGCCAGCCATATCGTGTTGTGTCCTTGCAATTGTCTGGTTTCTGCCTCCTTAGCACTGAATGTTTAATTCTGCCAGCTGAAAAATGCATAAATACCATTTTAATTAGAAAATTAGCTGAAAATATGCAGCTCACGTTAATCGCATGACGTCGTCGTCGTCGTCGCAGTTGTTATTGTTGCCGCATGGAAGCGAAATGAAAATTCAGATGGAGGGGCCACGAAACTCATGCAATATCCAGGAGATGCGACAACAACTGACTGCATGCCAGTGTCCTCGGCACACTCGTCGTATTCGCAATATCATCCTTGGCCCCCCGCCATCCCTTTTTCCGTTTTTCCTGACACTCGAAATCATTGCCACTCCGGCTTTGGCTTTTTACTCGGATCCGGATCGGGTTTGGGGGCCATGGAGGAGTAGTTCCAGTTGGGCTCTGCTGTTTGTTGCGACAAATGCCGTTATAATTATTTATACCGTAAGCACATTTTATGGTGTCGCAATTTTAAAATGCAATTAGAAGCGCGCTAACTCTCACTCCCTCGAATGGAAGCCCCACAGAATACCAAACAAAGGCAAAAAGGAATTGGAAATGTAATAAAGGGGGGAAATGTAATGTAATCGTAACGTAATTCTTAATGGAGTTTTGTCATTTCACCGAAAAAAAAGAAGGATAAAGACGCGGATGCTCCTCAGGCATCACCAGAAATTTTCTGCTTATGCTGGGCCATATTTTCCCACCCCCAACTCAGCAGTCACCTGTATGGGATTCCGGCTTATTAGGTTTTCCGCTTCTTATTGAACAGCCGCCACTGCTGATAACAATATGGAAAATCTTCTGTGCCGAAGCGAATTGAATGAGGAGAGCACAACAGCTGCGGACATTCAAATAGATTTGGAATATTACAAAATACGAGGCGGATGAACATCCGGTAATTTTGATATTTACCTGCATTTCCCACAGTTTCTAATATAGTTGCCAGTGAGGCTTGATTATTCAGCCGATTTGCATACTATTTCGCTGGGAATCTGTAAAAGGATTCATGTGTGGCCTTTTTTATGTGTGTGCAATATTTGTATTGCAAAATCCTAAAAATTCAATATGTTTTCCTATTTCTTTAATATTAGCCCACGCCCATAATATAATATTATTTAAGAATAGATTCCATGTAAAATTAGTAAATTTTTGTACAAACAAGAGAGGATGCTATACCCTTGCAGATAATTTCTATTAATCACTAATTTTCCGATCGTTCCTATGGTAGCTACATGATATAGTAGTTCGATATTGATAAAATTAAAATCGAAAACATTAAAAAAAAGTCATATCCCAGAGTACAAGAGAATACGATAAAAACCAACGAAGCAATAATTTATTTCCTATTATATTCCCATTAATTTTCCGATCGTTCCTATGGCAGCTATGTGATATAGTCGTCCGTTTTTGAATAAAATTTATTCGAAATTCAGAATTAGATAAAAAATGGCCTTTCCAAAAGTAGGAGGTTATAGGTTCAAAAACACCCAAGATATAATTTTTTTAAAATTTTGTTCCCCGATCATTCCTTTGGGAGCTATATGATATAGTTGTCCGATCCGGCTCGTTCCGACTTATATACTACCTGCAAGAGATATAAGACTTTTGGGAAAGTTTTAGCCCGATAGCTTTAAAACTGAGAGACAAGTTTGCGTAGAAACAGACGGACAGACGGACGGACAGATGGACGGACAGACGGACGGACGGACGGACAGACGGACGGACAGACGGACATGGCTAGATCTACTCGTCTAGTCATGCTGATCAAGAATATATATACTTTATAGGGTCAGAACAGTCTCCTTTACTGCGTTACAAACTTCTGACTGAAATCATAATACCGTCTGCAAGGGTATAAAAAGGGTATTTTTAAATAGAAGACTTCCTTTGTAATTTCTTTGGCTCTGTTTCTTTCATCGATATCCCAAACAAAAGGTAAATTAAATTTGTTTTGGGCAAAAATGGGTCCAACTGCAGCATTTATCGGCTGCGGTCGTAAACCATTTGCAGCAATTATCTGCTCCAAGTTGGCCCGCCGCCTTCGGGGAAATATGCGGCAAATTAATATGGCCCAGGACATCTGGAGAATCCTCGAATCCCCTTCGCCGGGCGGTGAGGGTGGCCCAACCCTTGCTGGCCTGCGCTGCCAATGAGTTTTTAAGCGCAAGTTTTGCTTAATTTATAACGAGGATTACAATAAACAAACTAATCTATGGCAATAAACACTAAAAATCCCCCAAAAAGTGCCCGAAGATGCTGTGTCCCGTCGCTGGGGGAAAATGGATAGGGGAAAAGGGGAGACAGGAGATGAGATTTCGCCACTATCACGGGTTGGAAGTCCTCCTGGGCATTGGACTCGCCTCGTCGATTTTATAAGTTAAATCGCAGCAATCCTTTGGCCTTTTAAATATGCCATTTCCGTTGTGAGATTATTTTTCGATATCGCATGATTCGAGATGTTTACGAGTGTCCAGTGTCCACGGGGCTCTGGCGACGACCAGATAGGCATCGTCAACCCCATTGCCACTAACCCCGAAAGTTCTGGAATTTTCAGCAGACTGTCGGTGGAGAAGGGTTTAATGTGCGTGCCTCATCCGCTCGATCCCTTTTTCTATTAACAATAAATTTGTACGATTTTTATTTTGACCGCAACGAGCTTGGTCAAGATGTGTGGACAGAACGGTTGAAGAAAGAAGTGTGTGTAGGTACAAATTTAAGGAGAAGTACCACTATAAAAAGAGTTTCTGAATAGAGCAAGGGAAAATTAAAATATATATTATAATTTGATTTAAGTTACCTTTTTCTTTTTTTTCAACTTAAAAAGTAATTTTATTCAGAACTGTATATCCTTTGCTCCAACCATTCTAATTACCCAAATGCACTGCCCCAAGAAAAGTCAAAGGGAAGGGCAATCTCTTCATTCCATCATAGATACTAAACCCATGACCAATGGACCGTGGATGGGGGATGTGGGACAGACAAAACAAATCGGTGAAACGGGATGCGCGTGATGCCCAAAAGGATGCCATTAAGGACAACGGTTACAATCGTTAGTGAAGCCATTAGTTTGCAGCGCCAATATGCGAAAATCACATACACACAACCCCATCCGAATCCGAGCCCACCCAAAAAGTAATGTTGCAGAGTAAGTGTATAATTGCAAGTGGCACAGCTTTCGGAAAAAGCGAGATATAACATGTAATAACTTTAGCCGGAGACCCACAGCTCCGAAATGTCCATCTTCCACTAATGTGTCCTGGCTGGGATTGGATGCGACAGGGCAAGAGAGTCACGAAGTTGGCAACGACAATGGCCCAGGCAGCGAAACAATAACAATAAAACAAGGGCCAAGACCAGGACGGCCAACCAATGTACGAGCGACTGAAAATAATTTCAGGGATATTATCGCCACCGTCGGCAGATGTCCCAAGTGCGATATGAGCCGAGCCCAGCGGACCTGGGCTGACCAGGATCTCAGCCGGACATCAACATAATGTCTACTTTACAATGTGGATAAACTTGCAAAGAAAACGAAATCACATCCATATCGAGAGCCAGTGGTGGTCTCCCACCTGGACTGGAGCTAGAGATGGCTAAAGTACGATTTAGATCAAAACCTTTAGAAATATATCTACAATAAAAGGCGATTTCGCCATTAACTCAAGAAAAAAGTCCGGAAAATATCGCCGTTAATCCAAGAAAATATCGCCATTAATCCAAGAAGAAATTCAACGACTCTTCTTCTTATTTATTTTTTAAAAAATAAAGGCAAATTTCCATAAACTTAAGAAAATTTTTCTATAATCAAGAAAAATTTTATTAATTCAAAGGCGATTTAAAATCACGGTCGATTTTCTTAAATTAAAGGCGATTTTTTTTTCTGAGTGTATATGTATTTAAAATTTTTCTTTATTTTTTTAAATAAATTTTTTTCAAATTGTAGTATTTGTTTCGATAACTTTATATTCACCTAAAAATGCAGTACATCCCTATCTGAAACCATCCAATTGTCTGATGGGCAGATGGGCAGCCACCCCCTTTGGAGCACTCGCTGGCCACTCGCACGCCACGATGCAATAAGTTACCGCTGGCTCGGCCATTACGACGTCGTGGCAAATGGTGGTGGACCTGGTGGAGCTGGTGGAGCGACCTGGCACAGCCGGAGACAAATCCGAAATCCATACTCGTAAACAAATGCAACTAATCGCCGTTCATGTTGAACGTGTTCACGGCTAGGCAAACGTGAAATTGTGGTCAGCCACAGTTTCTAGTCCTGTTCCGATCCCGACTCCCATTCCGATTCCGATTCCTGCTCCACATCCAGTCCGCCTCGAGTTGCAGCTTTCATTTTGTGCGGGCTTATGGCTCTGATTTTGATGGCAATTCGGACTGAAACTGAAACAAGCGAACGTATGGATGAGCTTAAGCAGCAAATGAGTTATGGCTTCGATGTGGCAGAATCACCTCTGCATGTGACTATTTAGGCTATCTTTCTAGAATTATTAAGCAGTCTTAGATCGTAAGATTTGAAGTTAGATATCATAAATGTAAAATCACCTAGTATAGCACAATTAATGGACAGCGATTTATTTTAATTTTTCATTAAATGTTTGTCATTCCAGGTCAAGTGATTTCTAAAGGAGTCGGTGTCCATCAAATATATTTAATTCGCAGTGTAATAACAATTACACATTTTGGTTGAATCTGTATTATTATTCTAACAACCAATGATAAGTCTATTTGTGTTTTTATAAAAAATCCTAGAAGGGCTACTTTATTTGAATAGGTTTTTGTTTTCAGAAAATTAACACAAGGGGGATTCCCTAAACTGTTGAATTTTGGTCAGCTGTTAATACGGTGTTCCATACAAAGTCAACTTTCAGAAATTTCAGCAATTCATCAGCCTCGGGGCTGTTGAAAATGTTGTTGAATTGCTGAAAAGCCAGAGTTTTTTTTTTTTAAAGTTGTGGCAACTCTGTAACATTTTAGTATTAGAAAGCATATTTGTGGTTCTTTTTACCTTGGTAACACTTTTAGACAGTAACTAGCAATAATAAATCAAATTTTACATGCTTTAAGTTCCGTGAAATTTTTCAACATATAACAGCTGTTTGAAAATTCAACAGGAACCATTTTGGGTGGTTCCCTTAATTGCTGAAATTTTTTGTTGAATTTTCAACAATTCAGAAATTCAACAGTTTAGGGAATCCCCCTACAATTTTTTCAGTTTAGTTTCATTTATACAGTCAATAAACATTTTTCACAAAACAGAGTGCTTTGGAATAAATGTCATTCCCTGTCAAAGTTAGCTAAGCCTAAACGTCATACGTTTACAGAAGTCTTTTTCACAATCGAGCAGAGCTTCAACTGAGCACATCACGTGGTAAGGCTACAAAAAACTTTTGCATACATAAATTTGTAAGTATTATTTTTTTTATTGATTTATTTATTGTTTTGTTTATTAAATGTAGCATTTTTATTATTTTAAGGTTGGAAGATGTCGGCTTTTACACAGAGAATAACGAAACGTATGATGACAACAGCTGAGCCAATGGACGTTGACGAAACGAGCGAAGTTCCCGAAGCTGCGGGTTTTAATCGTGGGTACGATGAGCGCTTACTTGGTGATGCAGAGGATCATGATCGACTGCCGAGTCCTAATGAGTCGAAGCTGGCCAGGGAGCGAAGGGCATCTTCTAAGGACTTCGCACTGAAGGAGCGCTCACAGACTAGACGCCACAACTTGGATGACCAGCGAGCTGGAGGTCAAAAAAGCCGTGCCTTCGAGCGTTTGATGAGCGTGCGAAATAACAAGCTGGCCAAGGAGAAGAATTCCAAGGACAGTGTGGGGCAGACGGAGGTCATTCCTAAAATAAAACTGAAGGCCTCGGAAATATACTCGGACGACTCATCCACCAGCAGTGAGGTGGACGATCCGCAGGAGGCAGCTGGAGATGAGCCATGTGTGACCACCCGGGAGGAGCTGAGTCGGGCTGTAATAACACGAAAGAGACTGTTGGACATTCTGGACACACCGATTCTCAAAGAGACTGCTGTCGGTTGCTTTGTGCGGCAGAATGTTGGCCAGTGCTATAGTGTCTACCAGATCGAGGATTTGCTTCCGAGCGATCAAGATTACCAGGTGGATGGTAAGCGGACAAACATGATTATGAGCCTAAAGTGCGGCTCTGAAAGGCGTACTGGCCGGATGGATGTGGTTTCCAATCAGCCAATTGAATCGAAGGAGTTCTTCCTGTGGTTGGCAGCCCATAAGCGCGATAACCACCTCTTGCCAACACTTGTTGACGTCGCCAAGAAGCAGCGTGATTTAAAGAAGGCCTCGGAGTATTCATTCACCGAAGCTGACGTCGAAAAGATGATACAAACCAAGGGGACAGTGGGGCAGAAGCAAAGAGCCGCCTATAAAAAAGTATGCCTCATAACGGAACGGGATATGGCGGTGGGTATGAACGATGTGGAGAAAGTGGACAGATTGGAGCAAGAAATCCGGGAGATAGACGAGCAGCGCAGTGCCCAGGCTGACAATCCCCGCGAGCATCGGAAACAGCTCCCTAGTTCATCGCACGTTGCCCATGTGCCCACCATTTACCGTCACGATTCGGTTGCGCCTTCCGGCCGCAAAAGATTCATTGCGGATCGGGCCCCCAAGTCGGGGGTAATCGAGCTGGAGCAGTACATGCGACGGAAGTATAAAAAAAGTGCCGTCGTCAGCCGTAGCCGAGTGGCAGATGAAACTGAAGATTGGGAGCCAGTCAACGAAATTCCGATCGAAGAAGACCAAAACAATGAGGTCGAGAACGAGGACGAGGAGGATGAAGTGGACTTGTTTAAGTTGAATGATTTCCAAATTGATCTGGATTTATCCGGACTAGGTAAGTGATCTTTGGTTTATAGAAAATGGTACTAATATCATTGTTTTAAAGTTCCCCTCCATGAATTATTTCCGGGTACCCCGCATGCAAGGTTCGAAGGCCCTTGGGACGTGATAATGAGGGACTTCTAAGGATATACAACAGCATTTTGATCTATGGATTTCAGTAACCTACCTACCTAGATCTAGAATTATTGCTATTTCCTGGTAAAATAAACTTAAAGAACTGGAGTAACATAAAATTAATTCAATGGTGTGGTATCGAAAATGTCGATCATTTTCAAGTTATAGTGGTGGAGATCTAATCACACTGTTATAAAAGTGAAAAAACATCGGTGTTTTTTAAAGTTTCATGGATGTTTGCCTTTAAAAACATCGGAAAGGTGGAGAAAACTAAACCTGTTATTCCTGTTATTTTTATCCAGCCAGAACATCAGTATCCTACTCTCCTCTTCGTTGATGGTCACAGTAGGTTGTGACTGAGGAGTAAGTTACTCTGGTGATCCCGCAATTTTAAAAGACTCATCAGAAATTGATTCTCTGTCAAAAGCTGGTTCTTGGGTACTAACAATTTTGTTCATACATTTTAGAGGTTTTATTCTAGATATGCAAGTAAACTAAGCTTTGCCATCCCTTCAACGCACTGAACCCATTTATTATTTACACATCTTTTGTCCCAAACTCCCAGCACCAACACTGCACTTTGACCAATAATTATTGGTCAACTGAGTAGTACCAACCTCGCCGTGTGATGGAGCGGCCAAGTCATTAATAATACAAATAGAAACTCATTCGTAGTCCGGGCATCAAGTCGAATTGGAATCATCTGCGGGGGCTGGGTCATAATTGAAGATGTGCCCACGGCCACAAAGGTGACAAAGGGCGCTCGACTGACAATAAAATAAATGCCATTTACTGATGAGTCATCAACATAATTTTTACGATTCGCCCCATTCGATGAATAAACAAATAAACCAACTGGAACTGGCTAAGAAAACGAATCCCGAATTTGGGAGACTAGTTCGAGCGTGTCACGCAAACATTTCGCATGCATTGACTTTTTATGGCAGCCAACGAGCCAACGAAGCCACAAGGACTCGAATCGACAAATAATGCAAAATCATTTAGTGGAACTCCTAGACCCAACACTTCTGGCCTTCCCCTCGCCGCCCCCCGCCGGAGTCATAAAATCCCGCACCGAATGAAATTCTCATCAAGTCGCAAGTTGGCACAATTTCACTTTGCCGAAATAAGCCGGGTTGGAGCAAGGACCTGCGTCCTGGCCATCGGTGCTGTCGGTTTTGCCAAAGAAAAATATTTCGTTTTAATTGAACAAAGTCTAATAATTAAAAAACATATAAGAGCTTTTTGTTGTATACTTTTATAAATTATTTTATTTAAAATCTTTTTTTCCACAATATAAGCCTGTAGTTACAGTCGAAATTTGGTATGTGTTCTTATACTTTCGATCACTTATTAAGAAACTCGAGGTATGGATATAATTTTACGTAGAAATTAAAAAAGCGAAAAATGTTGGCATTTGGTGGTAATTTCATTGATTAAAAAACTTTTTTTAATCGAAGTTTAATGTTTAATGTTTGAGTTGGGATGAAAAAAATGTAGAAGTTTTATCTGGAAACCGCAAGTAACAGTAATTTAAATTGAGTTTGAATGAAAAAATTAATCGTCATATTTTCTTATAGATTATAGAAATCGAGTTGTGTTCTTTAAGTATTTAAAATTTAGTTTAATGTTGAAATGTTATAAATTAGATGTTTGGGGATTCCACAGATTTTGGAATAAAAAACACATGACAGAAAAGCTCTGGCTTTTCACTAGCTGACCCGGCAACACTGCTGGTCACTGCTGCCAATACAGCCACCCACCAACGAATCCAACGGATCCCACACCCTCGGCAATCGCGCGTGACTAACGTAATCAGCTCACGTAACGCCTGAACGAGATGAGATGAAATCAGCATACACTCAGGGCTGCGACTGCATAAATGTCGAATTTATACGAAAATGAAGAGGCCCAGGCCATTGGACCATTGGACCACCGGACCAACGGACCAGCTGTGGGGCATCATTCACGTCCATGTCCTGGCATCGTCCTGGCCATCGAAGCTGTTTTGTAGATCTTTGACACGCGATAGAATCCCCGTTTGCCGGCAACGCAATGTTTTCATTGGTTAATTTGCAAACAAATGTCGGGGCCAAATCTGGTTTCCATAAATCGAACAATGAGGCACATTATGTTGTGCAAAGAGGGCCAAAGTTAGGGGGCTTACTTAAATAGGATATCAGGAAGGGCGATCTTAAACCGATTTTAAGTTAGTTTATATTTAAAAAGCTGTTGCATAAGTTCTCTTAGCTGCTTTAATTGAGGGATTGGATTATAATACTATGATGTTTTTAAGGTTCTATTTTTGTTTTAAGGGCGTTTTAATTGAACCAGATGATCTGTTTTATCTCTTATATTATCCAGAAGCATAAACCCCCTATATAGCAAGTACAAGTATGCCAACTGTATTAGAACCGCCATTAAAGTCAAGCTGCTGGGTCATTCGGTGGATTCCATTTAAATGTAAAACCCATCATTAGTAAGGCGGGCAAGTGACCCCGGGCATAAAAACGTAGAGAAGGGCTAACAAAAATCCAATGAGACCAGAGCCCCAAACATCACGCATAAGTTTCATTTTATTTTGATTTTTACGACTGCACCACGGCCTGTGACAGTCTGCTGGAGTCCCACCTGGATCACTTGCTAAATAACCAACGAAAATCATGGCCGGACGGAAGGGGGGGAGGTCAAGAAAGGCGGGGGAAATAGTCAGTCGGAAGTGTGGGGTGGACTGGGTTGGGTTGGGAACGGGACATGATGTGTCCATGAGAACTAAAGCAGGGAAAATGCCTATTTACGAGCTTGCATGCTGCCGGACACATGGTAATCATATATTTTGGTCATATCTGTGGACCATAAAACCAGTGTCCTTATGTGCCTGTCAATGAGTTGTTTCATGACATTTATTTCGCCTGTTCCAACCCTGTTTCGGGCTTTTCTCGAGCCCTGCGTGCAGATGGAAAATATTTTAGTGTCCATTTAATGTCCAATCTAAGATGAGCTCGTAACTTTTGATCGAATAAACGAGCTGGCGTCCAATCCCCCTCCTGCCTTGTGGGTCATAGTTGATTCCATGGAAAGGAACCTTAGGAACCGGAGAGAAGGAAGGGTTCCGTTTTGGAATTGGGCACGCAACCTGCGAGTCAGCGAGTCTCTGGGGATAGGTCTCTAATTTTCTTACCGCTTACCGCCCACAGCCCAACTGACTGATAAGCAGAAGTTATTTGCCAGGTATTTGCTTATTTTATTAGAGGATATCCACTCTCTTCATAAAGCCCTGATTGCTGAAGTCCCTGCCTGCGGGTCATAAATATTTAATTAAAATCAAAATTAGTTTTTCAACAGCCGAGAACAACTTGAGCCCACGTCCCCGCGATTCCGTCAAGCCGACGCGGCGGAAAATGTCAAGACTCTGAATGTAAAGCAGGCGCAAAGCACCTGGCTTGTTAAAAATTAAAATCGCACATGCTCCAACTCCCCAAAAAACCGTGGGCAGCATCCCCAGCTTTGTATTTCCGTGGCTCTTGCGGTTTTCAGCGGCGATTTAAGAGTCGGGCACACGCAATCCACACAGCTTGCATAACTTTCGACCTCCCCAAACACCGAACCCATAAAGTAGATTTGCATGCGACGCCCCAGAGACCCGGGGAGAAAGTGTTTTTGCCCACCTGACTGGCTCGTCGGTTTGTGACCAATTGAATCGAGCGGAAACCACTTGCGAAAATCCGTTGATGTGATGACGGGATCTCTAGCCTGGGGAAAAGTCGTTGTATTTGTACAAAATAAGAATAATCCATGTTTATACAAACAGGTTAACATGGTTTTTAAGTTTCAAACTTCAGGCTTTAGGACAAAACCTTACCAATAAATTGAAATACTTAGCTGTTGATCGTGAATAAGAAACCAAAATTACCACATCCGTTTCCAAAATTTTAAAATATTTCCGTACCCAAAACCGTGGACGTTTTCTTTGAAGGGTAGATAAAACAGCACATCTTTTTTATAACAATTTATTTTCAAGATTTAAGCAGATCATGTTCATTTGCCTATATACATCCAAATATTATGCAAAAAATATTTTACGATGATCGATGCATTACTTTTCCGCAGCAGGGGACATGTCTTCTGCAAATAGTAGAGGTCTGCCTTCAATCTGCAACAACTTACTTCGACAAACTTTGATGACATATTCTAAAGGATTATTTTTTCGATTTATTAGAAGAACAATATTGATTTCTATGTTTATCCCCCTCCTTACATAATAATAAGTAAAAAGTTTTTAAAAAAATCATTTGTTTTGGGTTTTTTCTTTAACTAAAATAATAATAATAAAAATAAATAATAATTATTGTAAGAGTTTTAAACTCGTAATGATTACGGTCCGTTGTAAAACCCGTTTTTAGATTTTAAAGTATTTCTCGGTTGGTAATAATAACGGATTCCTTACTTGAAACACACGACCAGTCGCAGTTGTTCAAAGTTTACCGACCGTAATATTTGCTGAGCGTAATCCTTTCTATTAGAGTTTACCGAGTTGGTTTGTCATTTCCACAAAATTGACTTTGTCTCGCTTTCCACTCCATTCGAACCTCGAACTCCATTCCCATACTCTATCAGAGCGAACCGATTTCAAAAAGTGATTAAATTTAACTGGCCAACGAGTTAAACTCGGAAATCAGGAATTATATGCAATCCGAAGGACAATTGCCAGTGGAGGACATAAAACAAAACAGTGACAAAGAAGCGGGGAGTGCAGGATGCGGATGGAGTGGGGAAATGCCAGTGGAAAATGGAACTGGAAGTAGAAGTGGATGTGGAGTCCTGTGAGGACATGCGGCTGCTGACTGCGACTACTCAAAATCTGTGCGTCTGCACGCATTACAAACGAATTACGAGACTCGTTGGGCAATTGCAGTTCATTGTTATTTAATATGTCGCCCAGTCGATGGAAGGAGCGGCAGGAGGAGCAGGAACCGGAGCCAGGAGCCGAAACGACAACGAGAACATGGCTGGGAAATTATACTTTATGCCGCCAGGACACTGGATTGCAGGATACGGTGGCTACGGTGGATACGGAGCCGAGCAGAAGCAGACGGCATGACACTGATTGCGATATAAACGATTGTCAACGTATCCAAGTGGATTATTACCTCATGCCAATTATCATATCAACGATACACAGGCCCAGGACTCGGGAAATGGCCAGGCCACACAGAACACACCGAGCTCTCGAAAACGCAGGACAAGCCAGGACATGGCACATTGGCTGACAAGTGGCGGGCGGAAAAGGGCCGAGCCAATGGAGCAGCCCAACCACCCACACCCTCCGCCCACCGCCCACACACTTGACGAGGCGTTGATGGTGTCGGCATCTGGCAGCTCGTCCTTCTGCCACTCCCATTTCCCCTCCTCCGCGTCCTTCTCCTTCCCCATTCGGTCCTGGCCAAATTGCATGTACAATTTTAAATGGATTTTGATTGTTTATGACAATTCGACGAGCTGACTGGCCAGTCCGCTGCTGGCCACTGATAATACGGCATTTAAATGATGATGACCAGCTCCCACCTGGCATCCTGCATACTGCCTCCTCCTCATCCCAATTTGGCTGCCTGATGGAGCCACGCCGATGCAATTTGCGAAATTAAGCCCAAGCATTTGCATAGAGCATTTAAGTCATCGAATTTATGTAGCAAGGGATGTTTGAATCTGAGTGGCTTAATTTTTTCTTTATTTTTAAATGTTGAGTTTAGGGGGAACAGGTATAAATGATTTATATGAGATATAAAATATATATTGAGCCTAACTAATAAATATGTGAACTTTTGTGTATATAATCTAGATGATCAATATGTACTTGTGGCACCGTTTTTGGAATGAATATTATTTTGATTACACAAGTTTACAAAAAAAATCGATGAAATATACCATGAATGAAACCATTGTTTTCCGGTAAGGTACGACTTCCCGATTAAAAAAATGGCACTTAAAATTTTTTTTAAGTGTAAAATCGTTTTTAATTTCTAACTTGAGTTGTGGTTAACCGATTTCAACCATAATTCGCTAATTTTACAGGTATTAGAATGCCCTCCAACTTTCTTATACACTGCATTGAGTTCCATTCATTAGTTTGGAAGCTACACTTCGTCAAAGTTGAAAAAGTTCGAAAAAATCCAAAAACCGAAACCTTTAAATTTTTTAGGCTTAGTGATCATAATCAATGAAAAAATTCACTTAACAAATGAATAAAATTTTATGGATCGGAACTCTCAACAAGTCGCTTGCCTACGGCGGCAAAAAGGAGGCATCTCTTCTTAGGCCCAGTGAGAAGATCTGGTTGAGTGCGGCCAGGCAAAGGGTGCAGAAATCCCAGGAGGGCTCACCACCACCGAACTTCAGAAGAAGAAGCAAGAAGTTCTACGGATACAGCATTGTGCTGGGCAGTCTCTTCAGCACCGTACTGTGGGCCATCTATGAGCTGGGCAAACCGGAGGTGGATCATCGGGGACCCATCGAGGATGAGTTCAGTCAGCTGCCCTGGTTCCGTCAGTACCTGATGAGGATGTGGCACTCGTTGCAGTATTACCAGAAGATGATGGAGGAGCCGCAGATGGTCAAGTTGCTGCCAGACGTCTTGCCAGCTCCCTACATACAGCCTCCCTACTCGCTGGTCCTCGAGATCAAGGACGTGCTGGTCCATCCGGATTGGACATACCAGACTGGTTGGCGGTTCAAGAAGCGACCTGGGGTGGATTACTTCCTGCAGCAGTGCAGTCGGAACTTTGAGATTGTGATCTACACTTCGGAGCAGGGAATGACCGCCTTTCCTCTCTTGGACGCCTTAGATCCCTACGGCTACATTAGTTATCGGCTGGTGAGAGGCGCCACGGATTTGGTGGAGGGTCAGCATACGAAGAACCTGGATTACCTCAATCGGGACCTAAGTCGTGTGATTGTGGTGGACTGCGATCCGAATACCACGCCCCTTCATCCGGATAATAGCTTGGTGATGACAAAGTGGCTGGGAAACGATGACGATGTGCAACTCTTCGATCTCACGGCCTTCCTGCAATTGGTGGCCGAGCACCAGGTGACCGACGTGAGGGAGGTGCTGCGATACTACCGCCAGTTTGAGGACCCCATTGAGCAGTTCAAGGACAACCAGCGCCGGCTGCAGGAGCAGAACCAGGAGAACGTCCAGGCCTCCGCCACCGGAGAACGTCAGTGGAACCTAACTTTAATGGGACGCTCCTTTCGGGGCTCCTAGCTATTGAATGTCTTTCATTAAAATTATTCATCCCGAAATAACTACCTACATAATTAAATAAATAATAAAATAAAGACCAAAATACATTTTGAGATTTATTAAAATGGTTAGTACCGTTTTCCATCCTTCTATTCAGCTAAAAGTTGGTTTGAAGCCGTAATATATCTTTAACCAATACTGATAGTTATCGAAACCTTTCTCCTTATTAAAATCGACAGCGTTCCAGTGTCTGGAGTTGTAAACACTTGTAAAGTGCATATAATTAAAAACACTTTGCGCAATCTGATAAAATAATTATTATCGAAAGGTGTGGCAGTCGTGTAGCCAGCGTTTTTATGAAGCTGCCAGGCGGCGGAGAAAACCATATTAGACAACGTTGGCACACATGGATGGTCACGCGATCGCACACCAGCTGCCCACCAGCCCACCATTTTCGAGGACACTTTGCGATGCAAAAAGGCGACAATTTATGCGCACCGAACTTGGTGGATAAACGGAGGCGGGGGGTCCGGATGGACATCCGGTGGGAGGGGGAGGGAGCTCCACTTTCGTGCTTGACCTCACTCACAGCGGCCTGCTTAGCCTCTTGACCACCTGGGTCAACTTGACCGGAATGGGGAGGGGATGTGAGCTTGTATCCTCCGCGGGAGGAGCGTGTGTGGGCGCCTCTTCTGTGGTGCGTTCTTTTTTATGGGATCTCCGACACCACCACTTGCAATGAAAGCATTTCCGCATCCGGCAGCGGTGCTTTCCAGGCTGCCGAGGCAGCAAAGCCAAAGCCAAGGAGCAGCATGGAGTCCACTTTAATTTTTGTTTTGTTTATAATTTACGCGACACAACATCAATTAAGTGCTTGGCCGGAAAAGCGCATACCTGCAGCTGAAAAAAGCAGTCATAAATTCTCGCCCTAAAGTGTTGGCGAGTGTCGGTGCGGCTCCCCATTCCAAACAGTACTGTACATCCGCCATTCCCAAAGGAGGATCCGGATTCCGGATCCGGGGGGAGTGGTACTCCTCCTCGTCCTCGAGCAGACCAGCTGCAATGTGCTGAAGCATAAATAGCCAACGCCATTTCGGTATGCGTACTTTTTTATGTATCACACAAATCATTTTATTGAATACACACTGTATGCAGGGGCTGCAACTTATTTAAGCTTGCCGAATAGTTGACAAAAATTGAGAAAAAGCGATGCTGTAATATTAAAATGCTAGCAGCGAGAGTAAAAACCAATATGACGACTCATACGGGATAATAAATCAAATTAAATTAAATTAATTGGAAATTGAGCCAGATAGAGCTTAAAATTACATGAGTGGGAGGGAGAAAGACACATTCGAAATTCGAACTAGCCTGTTGTTTTCATTTCGAGCATATCAAATTGAGATTCCGCATATCGAGTCAAAATTCATACACATAACATCAAATGGTTATACTCTAGTTTACGGTCCTCACCCCCAAATTCGCGAAAAAATTATACTCGACGGACCTCGAATTCTTAAGAATTTACATGAAGAAATATAGGTGCGAACTGCCATGGTTCTCTGGTAATCGAATTTCAAAGTTGCGTGTTTTACTATATTACCTATCAAATTGATCATCGTTTCATACCAAGTTTTTTTTGGTGTATTAATAAAAGTAGCGATTCAACATTTTAGGCAAACTAAGGAATACATATACGATATACCGACCACTATACCGAAATCAATTGCCAACTTTCAGGTCATCAAGCGGCAAAAAAAAGCTGCAGAACATCCACACAGGCGTAAGGACGAAGATGCCTAATTGGAATTAACAAAAACAATTCGTGGTCTAAGTTGGTGTGATTTGTTGGAGTGACATTACGATGCGGTAAACGAGCAAGGACGAGAATCCGGAGTTCAGGACGGTTAGCGAACGGAAAATGCCTGGAACCGAACGAATGAAAAGTGGGGACCAGATGGAATGGTCCTCGGACATTTTCCTCGAAAAGTGTGTGTGTGCTTTATTGGGGTTCGGGCTATGGGTGTGTGTGATGGCACTTGCAGACGCAATTTGTTACAACAAAAGAGGTTCAAAGAGTCATTAAACGGCAGTATAAACAAAACTCCAGACGGACCCTTGAAGGGTAAGGGGTTTCGAAAGCTAAGAAAATGTCAGCTCTTGGTGAAAATTACAACTCACTTAAAGTTAATTTAGAGAGCCTCTAAACATTTCCGGTATTAAGATAAGCTACTAATGATGATATTTCTCAGAATATTTATTTTTAATTAAATTTGGGGGAAGGGAACGGAAATAGTTAACGAAAATAATTTATTATTTACAATCTTATAGTGGTTGTGGTACATTTAACATCTCTTTAGCTATTAACGACTGCTTATCAATTCAATTAGCAAATAGTGCAGTGCCATAAAATAAATAAAAATTAATTCTACTCCGGGCAAAGTAAATTTATTTACTAGCCAGAGTGCAAGTGCCCCCAATTTTCCCAACACCGCTTTGTCGCCCCGGCAGGATGCGACATTCAAATAATGAAATGAATGTTTTGCTGCACTCATCCATTTATTCACGCACCATAAACTAGGGACGAATTTATTTCAAAGGACATTCGAACGTGCAATAATAAAAATAATAAAATTAATGGGGGCACCGGAAAGGCAACGGCAGCCAACAAGTGAGATCGACTTTTATTCCGAATCGAGGCGGAGGTTCCCGTTCAAACAGGTACGAATTAAATATACATTCCATTTCAAATTGGTTCACATGTGGAGGGTGAGTAGAGGGGGGTTGGGGGTTTTGGGGAAACGGGTGGACCGCGACCAAAATAATTTCAGCCATTTGCCAGATTTTGAATGCAGCTGGCCCAGCATAGATTTTGGCATTGCCAATGCATTGTAATTTACGCGACAATTGCAATAAACATTAGTTCATTTGTTACGCAATGTACTGCACCCCAGCAGCCACTGAAATTTGCCTGCAGCCCACCCAGCGCCCCACCCCCTTTTCGCCCCTTTTGGCCCACCAAACCAGCCACGTTGTTTGTGGGTTTGCGGCTGGCACATTAAATTAATTACTCATGTTATTATTTTGGCCGAAATGAAGTACGCAACAATTTATAATCGCGACTACACGAGATTAGAAGTACCTGCGGTGTCTGCCCCTCCCCCTTTGGGCTTGCGCCCACTCCATGCCCGTCAGGGCGGCAACTGCAACCATTTGGCTTTATTAGTCAAAAAAGGCAGGCAGAATGTATTTCAAAATCAAAATTCTACAATTTTCCACGAATGCGTCTGTTTGCAATTAACGCTAATTTATGATCAACTAATTTTCAAAATGTACCCTCAAAGTGGAGTTTTCTGGCGTTTTAAAACGGACCATTTTTATAGCACGGATTTTATTGTATGTAATAATTAATGGGATATGAAGATATCTTGAACAATGGACATGTTTAGCATAATTTTAATTATTTTCATATTATACTACTATCTTCTTAGATATTATCAATTAATATGGTTTTATGGTTTTTGGGGCTTTCGCTTGTTAGATTTGGAAAAGCGATGTGTACAATAAAATACCTAAGTAATGTGAATAATATTTAAAAAAGGGGGTGGATAAATCAATTTATTGGGTAGAATTAAGTCTGAAATTGATAGCAATAGTCTAACACTTTATTTATTTTTACTTACTTAAATTAATACCCAGCAAATTCTCTTCCTTCTAAATAATTACAAAAGAATAAACTAGAAAAAAGGTAAGGACAAAAAAAATGTAAAGTAATTAATTCCAAACAGTTCCTAAATATGAAACATGACATACAAAACTGTAAGATATAATAATAAACAAGACAGAACGCTATAGTCGGGTGCCCCGACTATCAGATACCCGTTACTCAGCTAAAGGGAGTGCGAAAGGAGTGCGAAGATAAAAACTTTGATCCGCCATAACTTTTTAACGAATGGTCCGATTTAAAAAATTTCTTCTACTTTTCGATAGGTATTTATAAATACAATAAAACTGCATTTTTACTTTTCCGAAATATTGAAATTTTTAAAATCCCATATAAGCGATTGTGGGCGTTAACGGGGGCGTGGCACCCTTTTGAAACAAACTTGCGCTGCGTAGGAACTCCTAGAATCTGCATGCAAAATGTCAATCTTCTAGCTTTTATAGTTTTCGAGATCTAAGCGTTCATACAGACAGACAGACGGACAGACGGACATGGCTAGATCGACTCGGCTAGTGATCCTGATCAAGAATATATATAGTTTATAGGGTCGGAAACGCTTCCTTCTACCTGTTACATACTTTTGCACGAATCTAATATACCCTTTTACTCTACGAGTAACGGGTATAAAAATATCAACATCCACCAACTAAGGCCTTCTGCAATAAACCCTCTGATACCTTATAGTCTTAACTATAAGATAGCATCAGATAATAATAATAATCATAATATATCACTTTTTATCGGTTTGGCGAGAACATCTTCAATGTTTAAAAATTATTTTCGGCTAGAAATATACATTACCTGTACCTTGTAAAAAATATTCGAATTATTGCAAAGTATTGTGAATTTGGTTAATGAAAAACCAAAATGTGACGACGCACTTATTATTCCTTCGGGATAAATAGACCGAAATTGCAGAAATGTCTTTGCTTGTCCATTTACTTACCACTTAAAATGAATGGATTCACTAAATAAGCCAGATTAATCCACACACGAACCAAGAAAGCTAACAACAGAATTACGTTAAACCCGGGAGGCAACTAAATTTGGCTTAAAATTTATGGCAATTGCTCAAGCAAAACATTAATTCCATTTAAATGGCCGCCTTATGAATCAACAGGCGGTTGGAACAAGCAACACAATCACATCCTAATGCATCCGCCGATGCAGTGGGCCTCTTCCCTCCCCTCGCCTCCCCCAAATGTGGCCTCCGAGGAAGGATGGCCGACTACCCGGATGTGTGGCCAGAACCCCTGCCCCCTGGCGCCCACGTTTGCCTTACTGTTTTCGGCCTAAT